TGAAAGGTGAAACAAGTTCTATCTGAGATTTTCCCCTAGATTTGGTTGATGTTTTTCGACCGCTGGTTCATTGGTCCTGATGCAATGAAGCCCTAAAGGATACTAATTTTGGTTATCTTTTTTTCGTTATTTTTATCAGTATTGCATTTGACGCGTCCGATTGCAGAGTGTGTGCCAAACAATCATTTTTTTACCGTCACCCAAGCTAGAACAGTTAACTTTTCCAATGAATCCACAAACGGAATCTTCGGCTTGTCAAGTTGATGAGTGATATCCGGATCATACAACCTTTAGACGTCGTCAAACGTTCAAGGTGCCTAAAGTATGTACATCGATGCCCAAACGAATTCGTTGACCGCCGTTACAACCAGGCAGTTTCAGTTTTTACTAACATTAGCCATGCACTTTCGTGCGCCGGTTTTGGTTGCCCATTTGGATAAAAGAGCGAAGTGAAGATTGGAATGTCGAAGCAAATTCAAGCGGAAGATGGGGAATACACAGAATGGTGTTAGGAAAATAACGAGTGGATGCACGAGCGCCACTGGTTGCGACACCCAGCCATATCACTCAACCAGGCAGTGGTTCGTAAACCCCTTGGTTGGTTTGGAATCAGAGTTCGTGGCTCACTCTCAGTAGTTCCCCCAACTTGGTTATAACCCTTGATGTGGACATCTCATCCGCTCATTTGGTGGGGAAACACTTACATTACGAGAATACAATGCCTAAGGAAAGACCCGAATTGAAAAAAAAAAAACTGAAATACCTTCTGCATAACTGGTCAGTCTGTGAACATCGACTCATGTGAGATAAAAGCCGATATCCTGTTGGTAAGCTACGGACTGCACGTTCTTCTGAATTTATTGTCCCCATGACAGCCTGATTCCAAACTTGTTTTACGGCGATACTTCAAGTCACCCTGGTCGCAAAGCTCATCAAGTTCATTGAGTGCACTGATCACGTGAACCGAGTCTCTACCACCGTTACCTTTTTTATTACACACAAAGTGATTTACAGCAAAATGTGGGTAGCTCCCCCCCCCCCACTCCCCTCGTAGTTAATTACATACTGTTAGGAGGGAGGTATGGGGAATATTCCAGCGAGAATCAATTTGTCAGTCCTGCTTTTGAATCGAGCAAAATTATCAGGGCTTGGAAACACGGACATGGGACGAGTGTTCCACAATTTCGTAGTCCCGGGGGAAAAGATGACTGGAAGATAAAAGTCCGACATCCGGGGACAGAAGCCTGATGAACGAGAGAAGGTCAATGGAAGAGGAACCGTTGAAGCGAGTTCGGAAGAGCGAAAACCAGAATAGTAACGATAGAAAAGAGATACCGAAGCAACTGTCCGGAGGTGGGAAAGCGACTGCAAGATGGAAGTTAAAGACGGTTCGTCGAGGAACCGTATGGCTTTGTACGTTGAACACGGCCGAGGAGAGAGAGAGAGAGAGAGAGAGCGGAATACGAAGCCTCACCCGATACGTGACTGCAGTATTCAAGCATCGGACGGATTTGAGCTTTGTATAAAAGAAGAAGGTGCCTGGGTGTAAAGAAACGCTTTGCGCGGAGTAGAAAACCAACTTTGCACGCAGCGCGAGAGGTAAGTGTAGAAATGAAAGGGGACCAACGAAGTGAAGAATTAATAGATAAACCCAGGAGTGAGAGAATTTGTGGAACGAAGGGATAGAGAATCAATAATCAGTTGAGGAGAAAAGCAGACATGTGTAAGAGAAACTGAGAGGAGAGAAATTTTGGAAGCATTGAAACACTCATGGTTGATAGTGGAGAATAGTCCGAGATCGGAGCAAAGAGTGGCACTCATGACATTACGATCGTGATCGATGTTGGTATTAGCTTGACGGAATGTGGGGTAAGAAAGAGAACAATGGAGAGTGGCATCATCGGCAAAGTAGGGAATGGGATTAGAGGATTGGGATAATATCAAATATGGAAATCATAACTGCCGCCAGTCTGTTTCTCCTGTTACTCTTACAGGTGGGAAATTATTGATATGGTTCGTTTCACTTCGACCGAGAGAGCCAAACAAGGTGAAGAAGAAGGTTCCGCCAAGTTTGCACGTGGTAATCGCTTATCCATGGGTGAACAGGTTCGATGCTACAAAGAGGAATGCCAGCGTATCTTCGATTTGCAAAATCGAGTTCTATCGAATCCCGAGTTGCTCAGCTCGGACGAGGAGGTGAGCAGTGAGGAGGATGAAGATGAGACTGGTGAGGCAACTGCCAGCCGTGCCGGGGCTTCGGGTGCGACTGGTCCGAGTGGTGCTTCGCACGGGGCGACACACAATTCCAGTTCCATTGGTGGTGTTCGACTGTCCAGTTTGTCCTCCTCGGCTCGTTCGTATTCGGCCACGATGAGCCGGAATCTGGAGGCGGTCATATCGAACCGGATGTCGGTGTCCGAGTTCGAACAGCGTCGAGAAGAGGCGGATCGTGAAAAATTGAAACGGGCTTTGGAATCGGGAGTGAGTTACTGTTTCCGTGCTTGTTCCCTATCCCCTTAGTGGTTAAACAGTCTCTTTTGTTTGTGTTTTTCAGGCAATTGTTTCTAGCTAGTCAGTCAAATTAGATTTTTTTTTGGGGGGGGGGGAACTACAACAGACTGGATACGTTTGTCATACATGTCTGTGGCCAGATTGATTGATTGGCTGGCTGACTGTTCGAATGCCAGTTTGACTGCCTGTCTATCTGCCTTCCTACGCGTTGTCCGTTTCTGCTTGCTCCCCGGTCTATGAACCGGTTACGTAATTCATTGTGTTATTCTTATGCTTATGGTATAGTGATTACAAATTGAGCTTAGTCGACCGGTCCGCGCTTTGTGATGAGAGGAGAGAGAGAGAGCATGATAGTCACTTGCGTTTCAAACTTTTGTCTGACGATGTTTATCGGTTGCGTAACCGATGTCGGTTCATTCTTGCCGTGGGTGCACTCACTCAATCACTAACTTCCGGTCAGGACTGTTTCATTGTTTGTATTTTCGTTTTTCCTAGTCCCATTATTGTCATCCCAGACAAGGGGGAAAAAGTGTTCTGTTAGATTGTGCATTTCCGGTTCTATTGGTTGATCGGCTCCTCTCACTACAATATTTGTTTATCTGATGAATAATGAAAGATAAGTAGCTCTGTAACAGCAAACATTTGATTGGTTTGAGAAACTGGCCTAGGGACAGAGTGCACAACCATAGATAACTGACCATGGGATAAGTGAGTACCTGTTTCATTTATGTGCATGATGCAATCTATTTTTCCCCATGGCAACTGGGATCCCAGTATCCCAGTTTTTGTTCCTCGCGTATTGTCTAGCTTCGAAAGTCCTAAGCAATTGTTCTATACTATCGCTGACCTCTAAGATGCAACGTGTGTGTGTGTGTCTGTGTATGATTGCAGAAGGAACTCTGTGCGCGTCCACATTGAACCAATCTGTTGGACATCGTGATCATCATGAAACGGACAAACATAGTTACGTTGCGTTCACTTGCTGGCGTTCAAATTTCCCACGTGAAACGTATTTTCTTTTTAGTTGTAGCTCCAAATTCTTTTATTGAAACATTGTATTCATCATTGGGTTATTTGGAATGTTTGATTCTGATTGTACTACTATCCAGGCGAGAGTCTGGTATTGATCATTTCCCCGTGAAATCAAACTCACCATCTGTTCTCATCCGCCTGACTAATTAGGAACCGATCCTCGGTGCGAAACGCCCACGCAAAACCAATCCTGCTGCTCCTGCAATCAAAGCTTCAGGTACAGCTCCGGGAACACTTGCAGATCACAATACGGACTCGAACCCGGCCAGTATCACCACCTCGGTGACAACCGCGGGTCCTATGACAACCACAAATTCCGCCAGCGCGTCCGGTACAATTGCCGGTAGTAGTCAGGTGTACGAGGCAAGCGCTCAAGCAGCCGGTACGATATTGGATTTGGCTCCACCGTGGCCGAATGCGACACGAAAATTGTTACGCATAATGCGTACCTATTCGGAAGACGGACAACAATTCACGCGGACAGAATTGGTTCCCTGGTCACCGGTGGTTGAAATCTATCTGAAAATTCGTCAAACACGGAACGATGAATTCATTCACAATTTTGTCGACTCTGATAACCAATTTCGAGAACAGCAACGAAAGGAAAAACGTCGTATTCAGGTGTGTGTGTGTGTGTTTCTATGTTCTTGAATATTTATAATTTGGTTATTTGTACCCCGTAACGTTGTTCAGTAGAGGGGAACAATTAAAAACTTCTAGTGTGCTCTCTGGTTAGGGAATCGTTAATCTTACACTAAGATCATAGTCACACGCTTTCGCGCTTCCTCTCTTTCTCTCTCTGTCTCTCTCACCCACTCTACTTATTGAACGAGTTGGAACAAAATGCATGTTTAGAGACAATTCAACAATTAAAAAGGAAAGGGCACATGCGAGTAGTACATACCGCTCACATCCGGGAGCTATTGTGATTAGCTCGTTATGGTGCACTGTGATCAGAAATTGTTCCTACAATTCACTTCCGTTTTGATGCATGATCACGATACACGGTGCGTAAATTCCTATCCATTTGTCCAACGTTCCGCATTCGTTATGGCAATCGGGCGTTGGAACACCAGATCGAAACAGTATCCTCTAGCTGATTGTAGGAGTGTGTGGTGCACATTCCAATCAACTACTCGTACCGGCGATTATTATTAGCATATCTGATTTGTTCAAGGTTTCGGGAGCCAACCTTTTGATCCTTTTCGTTCAAACAAATCAGTCTGTCTTCACCTTTCCCTTCGTGGGGGTGGGGGTATCCCCCACACACACTGATGGCCACTCGTAACCAGAATGAAATTGCTTTCCATTGTTCCTCGGTTGTCGNGAATAGAATCTTCTCGATGTTTAGTTTATTTCTCACCGGGGTTTGTATCATTTGTTCTGCTACACTGCCTACATTGTAGGTTTCTTTGTGTGTGTGTGTGTGTGTGTATGAGGTTTCCCATTTCACAGAAACGCGAATGTTTTTGTTCATTAAGGGATTGTGATATTGCAACTTTTCATTGATATCGCAAATCTATTGCATGCTTACCTAGCGTATTAACTACTAGATTTCATTCATTATTTGTTTACTTCTATTGAAATTTTATTCAAACAATTCCCATCAGCAACAAGGTGATTATGATGATAATGATGAAAAGATTACGTCACAGAGCACGTGACGTTAGAATCGTGGCACGAGAGTAACACATTCAGGCGAGGTAATCCTGGTTGTTGTGCATGATCAAAATGAAACCTCACCAAATGTCGAAAATAAATGACAATCCATCACCTACCCGACTTAGACAATAATTATCCTCGATGATTTAACAGTCTGCTCCTTCTTGCATCACAAACACTAGTAGCGGTATGTCTTAAAATAATACTACGGCCTTCCTAACGGATATAGCATGAGGTAAAATGAACAT